CAGCAACCCCAACCCCCCCTCTAACTCCACTTCGACCCCGAACACGCAGTCCCCCCTGCCCCCTGGCCCGGCTGCCCCCTCGACTGGACCCGGCTCTGGCCCCGGAAAACTCGGTGGCCCCGGGATGGTCTTCCCCTGCGGCCTCTGTATGGCGGAGGTGCACGACGATCAAGATGCCATCCTGTGCGAGGCATCGTGCCAACGCTGGTTCCACCGTGACTGCACAGGCCTGACAGAGCCAGCGTACGGGCTGCTGACTCGAGAGAGCGCTGCTGTTTGGGCCTGTGACTTCTGCATCAAGACCAAGGACATCCAGGCTGTGTTTGTGCGCCAGGGATTAGGCCAGCTGGTGGCAGCTAATGAGAGTTGAGGAGAGAACGACAGAGGAGCAGCGCGGAGGTGCGACGCGTAAGGACAAATAGAGACATTCTTTGCTCTGATCTAATTGAATGACCTGTGTGTCACGTCAGCTACTTGCCCAACTTTTTTGACTAGCCCTTTACTTGTTCACTACACAGAAAACACACTCATTGACGTTCATGCTTATATATAGCACTTTGAGTGTGAGGCAAATGCTTTTCTCCAACCCCCCCTCCTCCCCCCCAAAGGAGTCAAATCATGATGAATGTTAAACTACACGGTCCTTCAGACATCTAGCCTGCCAACCAGCAAAGCACTGACACCAACACACTACCTCACACACTTTGTGACTGACTGGCACGGAGGCTCCCGCACTGACTGACTGTGATTGACTCGCCACACTCGTGCACCACATGAGTATGATGACCTTTCAAACACACATAGACGCAAACCAACGTAATGCGGGGAGAGTAATGTTGAAATGTTCCTCTATTGATAGAGTGACTCAAAGCATCAACATTATACTCAGATTTTTCACGGCTTTAAATTAAAACAGACATGGATCTTTTTAAAACCGAAAGGAAAAAAAAAACTAATTATTGAAAGAGTGCCTGAAAATCTAAAAGGGTTTTATTAATTGAGTCACAGCTTTATTTGCTATCAAAATGCTTCATTCTAGCACTGCCCTCTCACATTGTTAGCCTTTTTACTGCAAGCAAGTGAAAGAAAATGGAAAAATTCATCAGCTCATTCATCTCGAGCATATTGTGATCATTGGAGGGGGAAAAAAATCTTCAGTTCTTTTATCATTTCTTGCACGGGCGCACACACACACACACACAGACACACACCTTGACTTCTTGTATTTTTTTTTTTTATTTTTTTTTTTAAACCCAGTGCTGATTAATCCAAAGGAGACCTGGGCCGAGATATCCATACCTCACAGAGAGGATTTTACCACCAAAATAGCTGTAAATATTAGGACGAATCATTTGTCTGGAACTCCCATCAGTTGTGAACATGCCAGAGAGTTGACCAATGAACAAAATTATAAGTTGAACTTATGTGTCTTGGTTGTCTACAATATGACGTTTTGGTTTTTATACAGTACATTTGAGTCAACCATTTCTTTTTATCTCTGCAGTACACAAGAATTGTGAAATCAGTGCTTTTGGATGGTGTTGGCATAGCAAGTAGTGACATCATGTCATATCAGATGTGCATAGTCCTTTTTTTAATAATAAAAAAAAAACAGGGGAGGGGGGTGCATGTGAACCAATGCAGTAACTGTCTGATCTGTTTATGTTTATATTCTGGCCTCTGCTTTGCAACAGGCCTTGAAGTAGACCAAATAACTTAAGAGCGGAAAAATACCCATTTTTCACATTTCTGTCACGGTATAAGGTGTTTATAACTATTCTTCCTTCTCTCTTTCCTTATTTTTCTTTATTCAATGTCCGAGTTGCCTTTCTGTTCTTGCTCTCTCAGCTGTTCCTTTTTGATTTTGTACTGGTATTTGTGCTGTGCTCTTGCTCTGCTTTGGCGCCTCCTAGTGGAACCTGGAGGAACCAGTGAGTCCCACACCAGGTGGGGAAGGGAAAGGTACTGAACTCTGAAGTAAAGACAGATTTTTTTTTTTGTACTTGTCCATGTCTGTTTTTATTCATATTTTTAATTTGTTTGCTAATTGTTGTATTAAAATGAGGGTTGGAAAACCCAATGAAACAGATAACAATGTAATTTCTTTGTCGTAATGCTCAAAATTACTGTTACATTATCTTTTTATTAACTGTAGTTCATTGCGTTCAACCGTCAATGATTTTCTTAAAGCGTTTATTATCAGTTTATTGTGAAATTTAAAATTATTTAACATTGTTTAACACTTCATTTGTGAAGCTTTTACTGATAGTTGCTGTTGCCGACCTGTTTAAATGGTCAAACTTTATTTTATGGGTCTGTAGATTCTTAATATTGTCCTCATAATTTACCAAAACTCATTTGTCACCAATTATAGGTCAAACAAAGATTTGCATAATTGGTACAGCAGGTCAGCTGGACATGCACAAATATGAAAAGATGTGTAGAGGCAAATCAGTTCTTTCAAGGAATCTCCTCTGGAAGTCAAAAACTGCTGTTAAGCTCAGCACAGCTGCAATTAGTACCAAGTTACATATTTCCTTCCAGAAAACTTCAATAAATGATTAGATTATTTTGATATTTAACATAATTCTGTTGAGTTCACATAAACAAATAAAAGATACCTCCATGTAGGGCTGCACGATATGAAAAAATATATATATATCACGATAATTTGGACAGATATTTCGATATGATTCACTATTAGAATAATATTTTGCATTATAATTATCATTTTATCTGAATAAACTAACTAAAATCATGATTTGATGTGTCTGTAGTACAAACAGGCCTGTTTTCTTACATCTGGAGAAGAGGCCAGGGCCTCTCTGCAGTACTTCATGCTGTTTTGTCACACAGTTTAACTTTATCAATTGCAGCTTCTGCGATTTGGATCTTGCGCTGTATTTGGGATTTTAATATTTCCATTAATTGTGCAGCCCTATTGAATATAAATAAGACGATTTTCCACTTGAGTTTTTTAAAGTCAGGTTAATTATACCATATTTTGATAATTACAAATGCAATTTAATGGCTATAGGCAACGGTGTATTAAAGTCAATGGCCTCTGGAATTGTCTTTTTTCCTGTCAATAGTTAATTAGTTTTGCCTCAGCAGTGATCAGTATTTGAACACTGGTATTGGATAAGATTATAGCCCAATGGCTTGCATTTCCAAATTGATTGAGAAATTATTCCCCATAACACCACTGTGAAAATGGGTCACACACAAACACACACACACTCACTCACTCCCAGCATTCACCCGTGCGTACGGAGTCGAAACTGAGTCCGCAGCAGGCGCCGCCTCTCGGGGAGCCTCCCACCAATGGAGTCGGTCCTGAGGCGGGACGATGACTATCCGATGTGCTGGCAACAGGTTGCACTGGTAGCAAGGGACGGGGGCGGGGGTGGGGGAGAGAGACATTTCCCGATGTCCTCAGTTCATTGAGTAACATCTTCTTCATCCCATCAACACTGTACACAGAGCTGCTGCTGTAAAGACCCGCACAGAGGACTGAGGAAGGTTCGGACCAGCTTTTACAGGTGCAGTACAATAAGTATCCTAGTACTTTTTCACACAGCTGCTGCCTATTTACTGTACATTCACTTTTGTAGAGCTTACACTGTAAGCTCTATTTTGCTGAGCGGGCATTTCTTTATTCCATTTGGACAAGCAGGGGTGGACACCTGTGGCTTTGTGATTGGATTTGGCAGCGGACTTCCCATGCTCAGCTTTTTACTTACGGTAATGACAACAAGCATCTGGCGGGGGGGGGCTTGTGTTGTTCGCTTTTTTCAAACGTTTGGTTGCAGCTTTTTGTGTGTGTGTGTGTGTGTGTGCGCCTATAATTGGATCTCACCGCGCTGCGTAAAGAGGATATGAGAGGTTATTATAGTAGGTAAACGCTTCAAATAGGATGCGACGGCGTCTCGCAGCAGGTGCGTCGGTTGTTTACCTTGCTGCTCAGCTCGTGGTCCCGCTGGCTCGAGTAAACAACCCGGTGGTGGTTTCGACGCGCACACACCGATACTGGCTGACCGGATAGGTGGGTGTGACGCAATTAATCCAGGAGCAGACAGGTGCTTAGGGGAGGGGGGGGGATACTCTGCTGTAATGGTTTCTCCCGTCTAAAGAATCTTTATTTAACGTGTTGATATGAATTTGAAAGTGATGTTATTTAATTTATCAGTCAAGCTGAGCCTGCCAAGAAAATACAATGTAAGGCTTTTGTATTGATTAGATGTACGTGGCTGTAAATAAAGGTCAGATAAGCCTCATATCCTTGACATTATAGCTTACAACTGATAACCCACCAGCTGGTGGAAGGTATTGCTGTTCCCTGATTCCTTTCAGTTACATGTAAAAAAAATAAATGGTAACACTTTGTTTGGATGTTAGTTTCGCAAATAAAAAACATTTTCTGCCATTACACCACTGGGGTTAAGGTTTGGTTAGGTTTAGGCACAAAAAAAACATCTTGGTTAAGGGTATGTTCATGAATCGTCACATATACTCAGATAACATATACAAACATATGCAAAGTGAAAGCCTTGAAATGTTACAGATGTCTGCAGACTATTCAGGTAAAGTGTTAACATGCTTCAGAACAAAAATGTGTGCTTGGGGGCACGCTTCAAGCTGAGGTGTTTATGTACACATGTACCTTTAATGAGGGACTAGTGTCACCGTGTTGTTGCTGTTTTACACAAGAGAACCTGCACCCACCTCCTCAGCATACCCCAGCATGCTGGTAGCTGCAATACTTTACAATTTACAATTTAATGTTGAATTGGCATGTTTTTGATATCGAATAATGCTGGCTGACAGTTCAGTATTCAGTATTATCATTTTATTGGAATAGTGTTGGCATATGTTCATATAGTGTAATTCTGTTACCTAAATGTATGTATTACAAACAACTTATACTTAAAAACAACAAAATTAGTTAATTAAGGTTTTGTTTTAGTTTTGAAAAGTTGCATCTGATGTAATGCATAATATACACCGTGAATCGAACACTGAACATCAATTTGATTATATTATAGGATTTTATATTATAGGATATTATAAGCTATAAAATGTCATAAAATAGTGAAAAATGCCCTTCCAAGAGCTCCAACCAACAGTCCAAATCCCAAAGATATTCAATGTACATGGATATAAACTGAGAAAAGACACAAATCCTCATTTTTAGAGGCTGCAACAAGCAAAAGCTTTGAGTTTTCACTTGAAAAATGACAAACGATTACATCAGCTGTTTTTTAAATGACTTTCAGTCAATTACTATCTGTTTATTGATTTATCAGCTAATCGTTTCAGTTGTAATATTCAATCAAATCACCCAGCACCAGCTTCAGAGTAACTCGTCTCCTCATTCAGATACCCAAGGGCAGGAGGAACTGGGGAGAAAGCTGAAGATCAGAAGCGAGGTAGGAAGCAGAGGGAGGGTGCACGAACAGAGGAAAAAGGTACAGTGCTTGCTCAGTGAGGAGAAAAGGGAAGAGCGATGGCAGATAGGCCCGTTTGGTGACATTCCTGTCTCTGTTGACACAGCCATTCCTTGTGACAAGAGAGAGAGCACGAGTGGAGGTGAACCTGTTGTCACCAAGCAGTGCTCAACTATTGGTTGCTGAACGTCTACAACAACTGAGCCTTTGTTGAAATTTACCCAAGGAACATGTTTACACCTGGGAGCTTTCTGTGTGGCCAGTGATGAGCCGCTGAGGGCCGAGCACCTTGACAACAAATAGACGATCATACCATCCCTTTTTTTTGGAAGATTTTCCAACATAGCTTTTGAGTAACCCATTTTTTTTTTCAAATTTGTTTGCTGGCTGTTATGTTAGGACAGTGGAATTCATTTGTTTTTGTATTTTTAGTCCCCAGTTTGTCTTTTTTTTTAAATTAGTCTCTTCACTTTGTATTTACTGCCTGTGTGGACAGTTTTCCACCTTTGTAGGCTTTACGGTGAACACTGCCCTAGTTCTCAGTTTCCTCTTAATCTGTCCTTATTAATACAAATGCAAACCACGCGCAATGCCGAGTGTAAAGGGAACGTCTGGAATCCTAAGAATGTTTTTTAGGAGAGACAAAGGCTGACTTTGATTCACCAATCTAAACTCATTGCCAGTCAAGGAGCTTCGTGTTACACTATAACCAGCAGTCAGATAGGGTCGGTTACATTTTAATTCCTGTGAGAGTCACATCTGTAAGTGCTGTAGGAGTGGACAAAGGAAACAGACTGAGGTTAAGGTGCGACGGTGAGCTCTGTAAAGCAAAACTCAGCTTTAGCAGCGCTTAAATACAAGAAAAATGCTTTCATGTGACAGCTGTAACAGAAGTGTTTTAACAGGATTCCACATTACTTAGTACCTTCTTGCCACTTATATAGAGACACTGAAAGGAGTGATGCTTATTAGATCGAGTACCTGCTACCAGATGGGCAATGCACAGCAGGTTTGTGCTTATGTCTGTGCACACCCTTGCATATGTGTATGTGCATATGCTCAAGCCGGTGTGTGTGTGTGTGTGTGTGTGTGTGTGTGTGTGCGACTGTGCAGCTCAAAGTAAACAGTCCACGCCTGAG